GTGGCATGACTACATCTACTGATATGTTTACTTATCTGTGTTCCTTAATAATCCATCTTGGATTCTTAGCTTCTAAGAACACTGAATTCAAAAGATCTAATTTCCAGCTTCGTCTCCGCTACCACTTTACTGTGTGTCCTGGGACGTCACTCCCACTCCCCGTGCCTGTCTCCTTTTCTGGTAAAGGAAGATGCTTCCCAAGCACCCATCCAGACACGCTGTTCTGGGACTCTGAGTGTTGTGGGGGATCCTGCGGTTAAACGTCCATATGTCTTTGTTTACAGCTCTTAATAGTGAGACACTGAACTCACTGCTTAAGAGACTATCGAATACACTGAACACCATGCTTAGCAAATTGTGATTGATGGCTGTAGGAATGTCCCTTCCCGGAGGAGATTGAAAAGTGGCTGTAACACAAAACCTGCTTCCTCAGGCTTTACAATGGGTTAAATTCCTGAAATCAGCTCTCAAGTATTTTTTAGATCCAGTTTCTAATTTATATCCTATATTTTAGTAATGCTTTTAAAAAAGTCTGGCACTGTCTGAAAATGGACTATTCTAAATAAGTATGTTTTTCAAATAACTGGCTATGACTCTATGAGCACAAAAATGAATAGTGCTCATTTTATAAGGGTGGAAATCCTCATAAAACATATAGAACATTATCTTGTCCTATAAACAGAAAATATTGAGTATAATTTAAATTTCTTATGTGACTATAGCCATGTCTTTTATTCCTTTATGCAACAAATATTTATTAAACTCTAATATATAAGCCCTATGCTTAAGTGGTGGGCATCTCATGTCTTACTTTCGATTTGCCACCACCAAAGATTCCTCCTTATCGCTTCATTCACACAAGTTGACTGTTTTGACGTTACATATTAAATTTGGAGTTCTAAGCAACGATAATGCCGAGTTTCTGCCTAGAGCATCAGGTTTGGTGGGCAATTCAATTATCACATGCTCCGTCAGTAAAAAGGTGAGTCAGCTGTGTCTCACTGCAGCCATTGTAGTCATCTAGACATGGGCGTTCCCCCAATAAAGGGTTTGAAATAGCGTTATGTTCTTCAAGCATCAAACTCAATAGGCTCTGTAATCTTTAGATCCCTTTTCTTTGTATTATTCACAATAAAAATTGATATAGAGCCCATATGAAATGCTTAGGGTGCATTTAAAATTGTTATACGCTCATTTTGTTACAAAGCAATAAATATTTATTGAAAAATTCAAGCGAGAGAATGTTATTGCAAAATATTTATTTATTATTTATTCATTTATTTAATTATTATTTTTTGAGATGCTCGCTGTTGTTGCCCAGGCTGGAGTGCAGTGGCACAATCTCGGCTCACCACAAATTCTACCCCTTGGCTTCAAGAGATTCTCCTACCTTGGCCTCCCGAGTAGCTGGGATTACAGGCATGCGCCACCATGCCTACCTAATTTTGTATTTTTGCTAGAGATGAGGTTTCTCCATGTTGGTCAAGCTGATCTCGAACTCCTGACCTCAGGTGATCCCCCTGCCTCGGCCTCCCAAAGTGCTGGGATTACAGGCATAAGCCACTGCAACTGGCCAAAATATTTAATTTCTACATTTCTGTCTTTAGAGATTTTAAAATTTTGGACAAATCCTTTGTTTTTTCATGTTAGGAGATTTTCAAGGTTGGCCTCCAGTAACTTTGAAAATAGCCGTAAGTAGTTTTAGGGGATCGTGGTGTTCTGGAATAGTTGCTGTTAAATATAAGGTGACTCCTACTTTCCCTTTGACATTCACTTTAAACCTGGAGATGGTTTCTACAGAGAGTTGGGAGAAGAGACTGACGAGTGTTTTTAATGAGAGACGGATGATTACCAGGGTCTTCCAGAATGTTGAGCATGCCGACAGGCTACTTCTCCTCTCTCTGTTTCCACTTGGTGGTACTTTTCCGTCTCCAGAATCTTTCACCTAGGACACAGGGCACTCTCTTGACAAGGAAATCTAAGTTACTCCCAAATCCTCCTGACTTTGTTTTCTTTTATTTTGTAGAGCCTCATGAAGCCTACTGTGGTTCACATGCAGATACCAACAATATATTACACATTTCACACCCTGTATCTCAAAACTGGGGCCCCATAACTCCTCTTAAGGGCCATTTGTAAACATGCCAGGGTGTTTTTATTGTTGCAGTGGGGTGTTACAGGTACTTAGCAGGAGGGGCCAGCCATGCCAAATGTCTTCCAATTTGCAAGGCAATATTTCATAAGTAAGACTAGTCCCCTCTAAAACGCCAAACATGTGCTTGTTGAGAAATAAAAATTTTACGCTGATGTTTATTGGTTGATTGCTTCGGCAAATATTTACTGAATACCTACAATGTGCCAGACATGGTTCTAGGCATGGAGGATCCAGCGATAAAAAGACAAAAGTCCCTGCGTTGTGAAGCTGACATTCTACTGAGAGGGTAAAGTAATACTTTCTTGGTTTTAAGAGTTGGTCTAAGTGGTTTTTGTTTTGGTTTTGATTGGAGTGTGGAAGGGGAAAACAATTGTACTAATAGCCATCTGTAGGAGGCAGCTGGATGGCTGTCTTGCCCCATGAACCTGCCTTATAAATTCTGTGGGCTGGGGTTACTTGAACTGATGGATTCCAAGAGTCTGCACATCTGAGGGACAATCAGGAAGAGAAATGCTTGGGACAGGGATATATTAACTCCATGTATGAACTCTTGGAATTAGGATTTGGTGCTGTGTTCCTAACACCTATAATGTTTTGTAAATTATGGCTCAAAATTTATGATTAGAACACTCTTAAAAGGGAGAATGTTTTAAATATGAGATGCCAGTATCTAGGTGTCTATTAAAGATCAAATTATTAGCAATTGTTATATCATACATTTTTATGATAATATTCTTTCAATAAGCATATTGACTAAGAATGGGAGACAAATCAGAGCTTTACATTTTCTTAAAAAGACTATTGTTGACACATGCACACGTATGTTTATTGCAGCACTGTTCACAATAGCAAAGACTTGGAACCAACCCAAATGGCCATCAATGATAGACTGGATAAAGAAAATGTGGCACATATACACCATGGAATACTATGTAGCCATAAAAAAGGATAAGTTCATGTCCTTTGCAGAGACATGGATGAAGCTGGAAGTCATCATTCTCAGCAAACTAACACAAGAACAGAAAACCAAACACCGCATGTTCTTACTCTTATGTGGGAGTTGAACAATGAGAACACATGGACACACAGAGGGGAACATCACACACTGGGGCCTGTCAGTGGGGCGGAGGGCTAGGGAAGGGATGGCATTAGGAGAAATACCTAATGTAGATGATGGGTTGATGGGTGCAGCAAACCACCATGGCACGTGTATACCTATGTAACAAACCTGTACGTTCTGCACATGTATCTCAGAACTTAAGTATATATTAAAAATTTGTTAAAAAAAGAGTATTGTTTCTCTTTATTCTGAAATTATGTAAAATAAGCTTCTGTTTAATACCAAATATAATTTTAAGATAATTAAAGCTATACCTCACTTTAAACTTTTTGAGATAGTTCTGGAAAGTTGTATGCAAACTGATAATTTGCTTTAAGAATAAGTTTCTTATTGGTTTTGTATTTTATTTTGAAAAATACCTGATCTTGTACCCAGATCTTTGTTCTGATACTATTTTCCTGATGCTCTGCATCTTGTTCTGGATTTCCTATCCTGATGCAACATGTTTTCAACTGAAATCCTCATCTTACCCAAATAATTTCCCTATTCGCTGCTATTATCTGACAGGGAGCATCGCTGTTCTCCTAATCACCCAAATGGAAACACTAACATGCTAGGCTCCTCTTCTTCCTGTATCCAAGCCCAAAGCCCTAACTTACTGTTCTTGAAGCTATTGCGAGGTGTAACTTGTTCTAGTACCATCAGCCTTAGCAACATGGAACTCTCCAATAATACACGTTTTTTTTGCCCTGCCTCCTAACATGACATTCTCTGGATACAGGATCTCTAACTTTAAATTTCAGAAGGGTTTTCTACATCTAGGTAATTTACATATACTTAGAGAGATTAGTTCTTTTGGCACCTTGTGGAATTGACAACAGGGTACACTGTGAACGATTACATCCACCCTCCACTAGGAGCGATATTTGGTTTCCTTACAGCCTTATGTGCAACTAAACACAAGAATAGACATGGGTTTCTGTAGCAGTCTCTAGGCCCTCTTTACTAAAGAACTGATGAGTAACCTTTACAAGTTAACACCAGGGGAATGATTTCTGAGCTGATCTTGTCTCTGAGGTTTGTGTTGTTCTTACCCCAAAGTCTGGATCGCTCTGGAATGCCCATGACTTGCTCCAGACCCTTATCAATAACTCGACTTTGGTTTGGTCCTCTGTAAAATATTTCTCTGAAGACTGTTCTCTTAGCCTTGGTGGTGACATCACAGCACTATAGTTCTATCCCTCTAACCTTTTTGTTCAGCTTTATCTTCTGTAACACCAGGGTTGATGGGGGACCATCGAAAAACTATTTTGAGAAGAAGAGCCTCCTGTTCTTCCCAATAGAGCCAAAACATAACATACATTCTCTGTTTGGAAAGCTCTGTGACACTTCTTGAGTAGTACAATTAAGCTTCCTCCAGGCAACAGCAACAGGGGACATTACTGTTTGAGTTAATTGTGTGTATAACTACACAGGATTGGGCCACGATCACTTCTCTGCAAACTGTGATGGCATATTTTTATCTGATATTGCTTCTCTGTATCTTCTTTCCATTTGGAAGATCCTTAGCATCTGTGAAGGATTCTGTTGTTCAATCAACACTAATCCTCGTTTTTCTCTTTGTAGAAAGCTTAGTGGTTCCTGATTGCCTAACAAATTTATCACACATTTCTTATCCTAGCATTTATGGCTCTTATTAATACAGTTCCAACTTACCTTTATGATTCTCTTTCCAACTCACACTCTCTTATTCAAAATCCATACTTAGACAAGTAGATCCTTTTGCCATGTCCAGTGCATGTGTAGCTTCCTATCCTCATTCCTCTAAGCATTGTTCATCTTTCCTACTTGTAGTCACTAATGCTACCTTTGAGTGTCAGCTAGGAACTATCTTCCCTGTGGAACTCTCCTGGAATTTCTTGCTGGAAATATTGTCTCCATGATTTTGGTGTTCATAGTATCTTGTTTTTACCTATCACCTCTGGATGTAGCTAATTATTAATATCTACCTCCAAGGTGTCAGCTCCTTCAGAGAAAGGGTGTGTCTTACTCAGAGTACTCCTGGAATACTATGGGGATTCGTGGCAAGGGTCAGGAAACATTTGTTGAATGAATGAATGAGAGTTGTTGCATAGATAGGAAACTCATTATTTTTGCTAATTTAGACCTGTTCCAAGACTGCCTTTCACAACTAATATTTCTTAAACTGGAGCCCACCTATAATAGTTATCTGGAATCCCTGCATATGTGATTCTTAATGCAATCTGAAAGCAGTGCCTAAGGCTCCACCAAGAACAGCGATTCTCGTTGGCCTGTCCCTGAAATTTTCTTGACACAACTTGTAATAGGCTATGACTGCTCAGCAAACCCAAAAGCTTCTGCATTTCAGCAACTTGTTAACAGGCCCCTGAACAACTCTAGTTAATTCTGTAGAATATACGGGATTCACTTTGAAGTACATAATATTATTAACACAAGTCCTGTGAATTAACACTGTGACTAGGCAAGCATTGCAAATTAGATGCAGTTATGCTCGCTCTGACTTTTTAAAATGTAAAACATAATAGAGTTTCAAGGCATTTTAAGCTTGGAAATGAAATATACCAGAGTTTTGATTTTTGCAAAGACAATGACAAACTTAAAGACCAAGAATGGGTCTGTTATACTCACTGAACCCCCTGAGATAATTGTCGGCCTGCAAACATGAATTCAGGGCTTTTAAAAAAGGATGGCAACTCCCTTTATCTGTGCTCAGATTTTTAAGTTAAAAGTATAGAGGACAGCCAAATCTTGCTTTGAGCCAGATTTGCTTGCTTTTCTTTGAAGGGGGTTGTTTTCCTAGGGTTTCTTTAGAGCCTTCTGAGATCCCCACCAGGCTCATATCAGTCCCACTCAGACACACATTTAGGTCTGAATCCTTCCGGGGAACACAGGTTGGGAACACTCTTAAGAACCCACATACACAGAATATAGAATGAGTATACATTAGGTATGTTAGAGGAATGAAATATTGTGAATATGTTAGATTAGGCAAATAAAAAAGGTTCATGATATGACAGCACATACATGCACATTTATAAATAAAATCTCTATTTTTATATGATGGAATCCCAACAGATATGCTCATATTTCCAAATGAGGCATAGATTTATATCAATTCATCTTCAATCATAGTTTTCCTGTTGTATTTTTATCATGTGCTTATATATGTGAAATCATTAGTAAAAGTAAAGCAAAGAATGCTGGTCTCTTTCATCTTTCAGCATTATTCAAGCAGGAAAGACAACTGTTTTTACAATGTGCTTTTAGGGTGCCAACCCTTTTAAAGGGACTGGGAAAAATTTTATTCTAAAAATATTCATGAATTCATGACTGTGAGCTTCCATTCATGGATAATTGTGATAAATGTTTCATTTACATTTCTATTATTATGGATTATCTGTTTTCTCTTTAGTTTAGATTAAAACATAATGTACTCACATGTGAAATTCAAGTGAAGCCTTCTGTGAATCACAGGTCTGCAGGCTTTAAGCGTAATTATGGTTACTCAAACATATTGTTTATGCCTGATCAACCATGTTTTAATCAATGCCAAATAATTTGTTTTTTAAAATAGTGAGTCTTCAAGAAAGAAATATACAGCTGGGCCCAGTGGCTCACACCTGTAATCCAAGCACTTTGGGAGGCCGAGGTGGGAAGACCACAAGGTCAAGAGATCGAGACCATCCTGGCCAACATGGTGAAACGCCTTCTCTACTAAAAACACAAAAATTAGCTAGATGTGTTGGTGTGTGCCTGTAGTCCCAGCTACTTGGGAGGCTGAGACAGGAAAATCACTTGAACCCGGGAAGTGAAGTTTGTAGTGAGTGAACCACTGCACTCCAGCCTGGTGATAGAGCGAGACTCCTTCTCAAAAAAAAGAAAGAAATATACAAAGAAAGCACTAATATGCATTAACTAAAAATTATTTGTTGCTTTGGATATTGGTTGATTATTTAGTATCTACTTAGAACATGTGGATAGCTACTTGAAATATGATTTTGCTTTGCTATTTGACATGGTTAATAGTAAAATGCGTAAATGAATGATAATGCTTTAGACTGTATTTCAAAACCTACTATGTATGTGCATGAATACCCTCACAGCTTTCACTTAGCTCTTCTAGCCTAAAGGTTAGAACAATACACAGACCTCCCGTTTGGATACTAGATATGACAGAGAAAATTAACTGTCCTCCAAAAGATTTGTACCCTGCCTCCCAGAGTATAGAGAATTGTTGCTGACAAGTGTCTTACCTGCAAAAGACATCATTTCCCAGCCTTACAATTAGATGGGTCATGATACTAGTTCTCACCAGTGGAATCTGAACAGAAGTGAAACACATCACTTTTAGGTCAAATTGTTTAAAAAGAAAATGTAAAACCGTTGAACAAAGAAACAAATTTGTGACGTGGTATTCATGCATCAGAATACCCTTCCTCAATAGGGAGGAAAAAACTACTGATTCAGGTAAAAACATGGATAAGTTTCAAAACATTGTGTGCTAGTAGCCAGACACAAAAGAGCGCATATTGTATAATTCCATTCATATGAGGTTCAATAATAGACAAAACTAGTCTACAGTGAGAAAAATCAGGAAGTGGTTGCCTGCGGGGAATGGTGGGTTGGCTACACATGAGTACTAGGGAACGTTCTAGATGAAAACAATGGTTGATGTCTTCTTCTGAATGGTTATTACACAGGTGTAACAATTGTCAAAACTCATTGAACTCAACACTTAAGATCCAAGCATTTGTGTATGCATGTGTGAATTACATTTTAATAAAACCAGATGTACCTTCTCGATTTTCTCTTTCCGCATTCTCTGATTCAGCGGTTCTCAACCAGAGGCAATTTTGTCTCCCAGGAGACATTGGCAGCAGTAGTAGGAAGCATTTTTGATTGTTGTGCTTCTGCTGTCTAGTTAGTGGTAGTCAGTGATGCTTCTCAACATCCTACAATAACACCCAACGGCCCTCCACAACAAAGCATCATGCACTCTGAAATGCCAGTGGTGCTCAGGCTGGGAAACTACTGTAGCTGAATGCAGAGGGCATTGAGTCCCGGGAGACAGGTGGACCCGCAAGATACAAACATTTTGGCCACCAGTACAGGATGTTACATGATCAAGAAATAAATTTTTACTGTGATAAGGCACTGAAGTATTAGAGTTTGTTTGTTTCAGTGGTTAGCATCACTTTAATATACCAGCCTTTAAAACCTTGATGCTAAGAATAATATTTATTGCAGTGTCCTCCTTATGAGAAAATGTGAGTGAAATTTATCTTAAGTTTTAATATCGAGCAAAGCTATGCCTCCTCTAAACCATTATTGTAATTTTATCTTAAAGACATTGTCAGTTTTAAAGTGTTTTCCTTCTTGTTTCAAATCACAGAGAGTAATTCTTAGGCAGCTCTTAATTCTCCAGGAATGTATGATTTGTGTTTCTGCATGCTCTTCTTGTCTTTAATATTTTTCTATCTTTATTTTTCCCTAGCACCAATCCCATAACTACCTCTTTTGGTATTTCGTTATTTTTTTAAAGCCTAGCTCATATCTTTTGCATAAAAATTCAGCTTATAAAAAATAAATAAAATATTATTCAAATACTTAGCATTTCCTTATTTTAGGTTTTGAATTAATAATGGTTTTCGTATCTCAGACCTTGAAGGAATTTTTATCTTGTCTTAACCTCTTAAGATCGAGAGAGATAAAATGTTGATAGTGACAGTTCATAAAATTGTTTTAGCTCTAAAATAGAAGGTGTTCTCTACTGTATGTAAAAGTTGTATACTTTATACATGGAGTATAACTTCTTCATCACTAATTGGACACACCTTTTGAATTCTTTTTCTAATAAGGAAATGGGATTCATGCCACCCTATAGTAGACATTCTTGGCTGCTTATTCAACATCCATCCTCTTCTTCTTTTTCCTTCTGGCAAAGCTCCAATTTTCTTCAAGTATCCACCCATTTCAGCTAATCTATAAGCTTCCGGGGAGAAAGACATCCACCTAGCATAATGGGTGGTATTATGTCTGGAGTAAGCTGTGGACTTTGCCTCCCTGTCAGTCATTGTTTTAATCCATGGGTCGGTGGTGCTGTTCTGGCTACTGAATTGCAGAAGTCAACTGAGGTGGGGAGTGGGAGTTCCAGGAATGATTTTCGTCAACCTTAAAAATAGACAAGAGGAAAGATCATTGTTCTGTTGCTTGTGGACACTGTTGTATCTGCCTGAGATGACGAGAACTTTGGCAGCCATCACAGGGCTATATGGAGAGTTAGCTGGAAGCACAAACCAGCTGGCCAGAGAGATAAAAAAGAGGCTGAGTATTTGTTAGACTTCCAAACCACTAACCAAAAAAAACCCCTGAGCTAAATTTCCTCTCCATTTGTTGTATGAGAGAATCATTTTGTCAAGCCAGTTGACTTAGGGTTTTCTTGTACTTGTACTTGAAAGTATCCTTTCCAAAATATCTTCTTGTACCTCTCCACTGACTTAGGGTGATTTTAACTTTTACAGTGTTCTTGTGTGTGGTCAGTATGAAATCCAGGCTTATGAACTAGAGAATGCGAGACCTTTACTTTAGTCAAACTATGTTCTAAGAAGCGGAACGTATTAGCCCAAGCACCCAAGGGAGGAGTTGGCAAAGTTCTTCTATGAAGAGCCAGAAAGTAAGTATTTTAGCTGCTGGCCATACTGTTTCTGTTGCCACTCCTCAGCTGTGCTGTTATAGTACGAAGGCAGCCACTGATGAAACATACATGAATGAAGCATGGCTGTGTACCAATAAAAGTGTATTACAAAAGCAGTCAGTGGGCCAGGTTTGGGTTGTGGATTTGCAGACTATGGTTTGGGTTGTGTGCTTTGCTGACTTCTGACCTAAATTGCATTCAAGCCAACTAGATAATCAAGGTTGATGGTTGATGGGGACATGGAACAGGTAACTGTGGATCACTTACCTTGATCAATTTTCTCTCCTTTTTCTTGTATTGTCTTCCTTCCTGTAGGAAGGAAGACAATACAAGAAAATAACCATTTTGCAGTAAAGTGGTAGAAAGGGCAAAAGTCAGGAGAGAGAAAATTGAGAACAAGAAATTTACATCATAGACATTCTACTTAATCAGTTAGTGAATAGCCAGTGGTTGGCTACACTCCTCTGAAACCATTTGTCTAGAAAAGCCCATAATCTTAATGTATTTGAATGAGAAAAATACATTGGAACCAGGTTTACTCCGATCCGTCTCTTTTTATACAAAATATCTTTGACCAAATAAAAGGCAACATGAGCTGCCTTCAGAGTTTGCATAAAGGCAGATGCATCTGGGCAGTCTGTACAAGGATGCTGATCTAATTAGGAAAATGGGAAATCCGTTATTTCTGAAAGTACCAGCCTGTCATATTTAGCCAGCATACTCTGAGATCTAATGAACCTCTGTCAAAAACAACAAGGGGTAATGGAAATCAGGTAAGACTGATGTAGAAAAATGCCAGTGATGAGTATCCGTTGAGAAACAACTAAGAGAGGAAAAGCAGAATGGAAATTGGGGTGTCCTGGCTTAGCTGGTCCGATGATAAAAAGTATGCAAATGTGCACAGCACATCTTTAGAATACCATTATTACAAAGCCCATCTCATACTTCTCATTGCTCTGTTTCTTTAAATGCAATGCTTTCCCTGAAAGTAGGCTGACATGAAATCATGATGTTAAAGCAGATCTTTAGTGTACATGAGCCCCAGAGTGAAAGGATCCCGGTGGATCACTCGATTCCTCTGTGACAGCTGGTGAGGGTCTGTGAAGCATGTGCCTCTTAGACTAAACATTTTGTTTTCAAGCAACTGCTCTTTGAAGTCCATTTAGAATAGAAGTATACATGTTTCACATGAATACATGGTACCTTGAGACATTTCTATCCAGCACTTTAGTGGACTCTGATTAATACTAACACATACAAAAATGGAAGTAGAACAGAAGAAACCACCCCTTAGGAAGGCTCCTCAGGAAAGATGTTATATTAGCTTTGGGTCTAATTAGGTCCTTTCTGTCTTTGGGGGAATGGAGGAGACCTGAATCCCTCTAATTCTTCCACACAGTTGCTCCCCACAGCCTGATTGCCACTTCGCAATTAATTGAAAAACCTATGCTTTTAAGTTGATGCCAGATGACTTAGCAGGAATAAGCACACTTACAGGTGTCTCAGGAAGCACAACTCTAACGCCTAGTACTCCTTGATGACTTCCCTCCTGATGGCACTTCCTGCAGTTTGCAACTAACTAGGCAGTTCCATGGCAAAATGGGTTACTTGCAAGTGATGTGGTGATAGAAAAGGAGTGATAATTTTAGCACTATTCGTGGAAAATATAGACAGGTTAAACAAGAAGTATAATGCTGAGTTCTAATCCTTCAGTTAGTAAAAATATTCTGTAGTTGAGTGTGGGGAGCTAAAGGTATCATCCCAGCTTGGTCTGGAACCTTCTTTTGATCTGGATCCTCCTCCCTGCCCACTTTATCTCCTGCTCTGCATTTCTGTCCCTTTTCCAGATTGTGCCATCTCTTTTCTCATTTCCACATCTTATATATGCTTGGTGAAGTCCTGTCCATCCTTCGAGACTCAGTTCAAATCCTTTTTCCTCTGTGACAGCCCCAGCGCTTTTAGGGAAAGTTATTTTCTCTTCCGTGCTTCTCCTTGTCTACTGTAGATCCTCTCACAGTGGACAGAGGTTGACTGACCCAGTGATGTGTCATTCTCCTTCTTTCACTGCAAGTTTCTGAAGATCAGAATTACTCATCACTGTCTCCTCAATGCCTGGTATGTAGTAAGTGATGAATACATATCAGTGAATATGAGTCAGACCACTGAAAAGCTAGATGTCATCTTCAGACATTGTCCAATGATGTACTTATTTATAAAACAGGTTGGAACAAAATCAAACTTTCCTTGCAAGGCTGTCAAGCCACATTACTGAACTGAAACCCAATAAGCTCCAAATCTTACTAACAGCTTAGACAATGATTTCACATCTGGATTTCCTATGTGACTTAGGTCCACCATAGAGACCACATCTGGCTTTTTCAGTGGTGTTGCCATCACTTTCTCCCCATTCTATTTGGATTTTATTACCAAGTAAAGTCCCAGAGTGAGGTCCGTCTACGCCTTTTCTTGTGGTCTTATCCCAGGGCCACATTGCTGGACAGAGAACTGAAAACAATGAGGACATCGGGGAATGGCTTTTGTGCAGAGAAATCTAAGTGCAGAGGGAAGAACAAGCCCAAAGGACAGGGAAAAACCACCACCACAACAAAAACCTAGCATAAACTAAGCAGAGTTGCTTACCTGGATCTTTGAGGAAGAGCCTTAGCTGGGAGCAAGTGAAGGGATGTATCAGGAAGACTCGGGAAGACACATAGTTTTGCACATAGGGACTCAGGAGGGTGGAACCAGGGTGTAATTTCACATGTGACATTTTCAGGAAGTGACAGCTTTCTGCTGGCTCTCACTGCCCACACAGAGGCACGGGGCACAGTCCCCCTCTCCACCAGCAGCATCTTTCTCTACCTATCCCCTGACCCGCCTCATTAGTCACCAACATACACATGTATTGTGTTCCAATGGCTGATTGTAAATATGTTACCTAGAGTATGAAACACTTTTCCCCCACCCCCACAGGAATAATATAAAATCTGATTAGATTCCTAACTGATCTACCAATCCTCATTAATTTAGAGAATTAAAATAAACTTTTAGCTTTCTTTTGATTTAATTAATACCCAATCTTTTTTTTTTTTTCTTTTGAGATGCAGTCTTGCTCTGTTGCTCAGGCTGGAGTGCAATGGCATGACTTTGGCTCCCTGCAACCTCTACCTCCCGGGTTTAAGTGATTCTCCTGCCTCAGCCTTCTCAGTAGCTAGGATTACAGGTGTCCACCACCACACCCAGCTAATTTTTGTATTTTTAGTATAGATGAGGTTTCACCATGTTGGCCAGGGTGGTGGTAAACTCCTGACCTCGGGTGATCTGCCCACTTTGGCCTCCCAAAGTGCTGGGATTACAGGTGTGAATCACCATGCCCTGCCCTACCCAATATTTACGGCATGATTTCTATGAGAAGGTATATTTGGGACTCTAAATGTGAAATGCTTATTCTCCTATCCTTCTCTGCCCTGCCCGAGGAGACTTCTAGGTCCTCAGGATTCACAGGCAATGCTCTGGGGATTACAGTCCTGAGAATTGGTTAGTTTCTCACTTTTAAAACAAGTGCCATCTCTGTTACTGCATTGAGAAGACATTTTCACATCCCTGACTTCTTGCTGAGTGAAGATGCAATTCCGGTTATAATTGGATGGGAAGAAATGGCATTGTCCCAGTGGATAGGGGCCTCACATGCTTTGGAAACCTTTTCTTGTACATGGGCCATTCTTGTGTTGAGAATTTGTATGTTGGTGATGATTCGGACTGACTTCTGAGTGTGTGTGTTGATGCTCACACGTGGAGATGTATGCGTGCCCTTGTCCCCAGTGTCTGATTCCATCTCTGTCTCCTTCTGCCGGTAGAGTCACACCATTCCACGGGTGCTTTGTGCAGCCTACTACACTCCCAGCAGGTTCCTCCTCCTGCCTGGAGCAGGGTGGGTGTTTGTTGGTGATATATGTACACTTTTTCCTTTGAGGACTTCATTAGATAGTTTTATTTTTATGCATCAAAGAAAAAAGAGAATGAATATTAGACTTTTTGAGAGTAATGTGTATGTGACTTTATCACATTTGATGGCAATTTGCTTAAGGACATACTTAGGGCTCTTTATAAAGAAATGCAGAGAGTCTACAAAAGATCATTGCAAGCATAATAAATCTGGGGAAGTGGCTTCAAGATGTGTGTGATACAATTATATACTGTACTTATCTGACTGTAAATAAGAATTCCTCCCTACTAAGATGCTTCTAGCTAATAGTTCTAAATTACAGCCGCATGGCCTGGCTTTAAGATAAAATCTCCAAGGTGTGGGAAACCTCCACCTTCAGTGTCACCTTAAGGCTTAAAACCCTTAAGCTTTCTCATGGCATTTTGACTACTCTGCCTCTGAGCCTCTCCTTCCTCCTCTCCCCTCCCTCCCACCCTATTCAGATCATGCTAAAAGGAAACAGACATTTCTAAAAGAGTCTACTGGGCTGGGTGTGGTGGCTCATTCCTGTAATTCCAGCACTTTGGGGGGCTGAGGCAGGTGGATTACTGGAGGTCAGGAGTTTAAGACCAGCCTGGTTAACATGGTGAGACCCCATCTTTACAAAAATGCAAAACTTAGCCTGGCATGGTGGTGGGCTAAGGTGTAATCTCAGCTACTTGGGAAGCTGAGGCAGGAGAATTGCTTGAATCTGAAGGAAGAGGTTGCAGCGAGCTAAGATCATGCCACTGCACTCCAGCCTGGGTGACAGAGCAAGATTCCATCTCAAAAAAAAAAAAAAAAAACACCAAAAAGAGTCTACCCAGTGATGCTAAAATTTTATCTGGCCTGTGATCTAGCTAGGCATTGATGCCACACTTCCTGCCTGTCTTGCCCTGTAACTCAAATGGACAATTACACTAAGGAGGAGGGGATAATGCAAATCCTTCTGGCCGCAGACTAATAACCGAATTCATCCATAAACGCTATAAAGAGTTCTAGAAAACCAAGTGTAGATTTTATTAAGAAAAGTTGGGAACACTTACTCTGAATGGTCTGCTAATTCCCTTTACATTTATACGCAATAATAGTGCTGATTGATAAGATCAACAGTGGCAACAATCACCTGAATGGAATTGATTTTATTTAGATCATGACTCATGCCCATGTTGATGTTTTTCAAACAAATTTCTGAGACTAAATAACATGCCCCCAAAGTTGGTAAGAACATTCAGCTGCAGACATTTGTGATTACTTTGGAATTAGGGAGAGCAAGTCCATTGTTGACCTAGGTTCATGGGAGGCAGAGAATTATGTAGATGGTCGCTGGGTCCTATTGCAGAGGGCACGGTGGAATTCTCTCCAGTTCCTAACATCCAGACAGAACTCACCTTGGGGAAGCATGGGCTGCTGAGGAGTGTGGGGTCTGTGCCCTTTGCCTCCGGGGAGAGCAAGCACATAAAAAGGCCGTGAGTGGGCCGGGTGCAGTGGCTCATGCCTGTAATCCCAGAACTTTGGGAGGCTGAGGCAGGCAGATCACTTGAGGTCAGGAGTTCAAAACCAGACTGTCCAATATAGTGAAACCCCATCTCTACTAAAAAAATACAAAAATTAGCAGGGTGTAGTGGTGGGCACCTGTAGTCCCTGCTACTCTGGAGGCTGAGGCATGAGAATCACTGGAACCCAGGAGGTGGAAATTGCAGAGAGTTGAGATTGCACCACTGCACCCCAGCCTGTGTGACAGAGCGAGACTCCATCTCAAAAAAAAAAAAGTGGCCTTGAGTGCTTTCTTCATGAACTTGCTGCCTGTCAGTCACCCTTGTTCAGTTGAGTACTTCTCCCTACTTTCTCTAATTTGCTTTCATTAAAGTCTTTTAGTTTTATTTTTAGAGACAGGGTCTTGCTCTGTCACCCAGGCTGCAGTGCAGTAGCACCGTAATAGCTCACTGTAGCCTCAATCTCCCGGGCTTACGCGGTCCTCCCACCTCAGCCTCCCACAATGTGGGATTACAGGCATGAGCCACCACACCCGGCCTCCAAGTCTTAACAACTCCTGTGACAACTTGTTAATTATCAAAATAGAGAGAGAAGAAAACATCAGCTTGGGGTAATGCATGTAAAGGGAGCCCTCAGGCTGATTTCTATGCTCCACCTATTTCTCATCTGAGTGAGCAGTATTTCGAAGTTGCCTCCAAGAATTGGACTTGATCATTTTGGTTTCTCCCATTTATAAGGATTCCTGGGATTCCAGGCCAGTGCCACAGGGGAACCTTGGGAAGTGTATGTATGTCAGAGAGTTAGAGGAAGAATGTCATCACAAATTGGAACTTGAATCCACAAGAGTATGAGAGAAAATTGCTTCCACTTTGGAAGTCATTATCTTGTGCCCACAGAAACCGTATGTGTAGAGCAGGCATGAGAGCTATGGTTTAGATGTGCTGCTTTGCACGTTTTACTTTGTGCTACCAATTTTTGCTTACTTGTCTCTGTGTGTGTCTCTCTGTGTCACTATCATGGAGACAAACTGAATGAGGAGAGGAGGAAGGAGACTGGGTGAGCAGGTAATTGTGCGGTAGCTGTTCTCCAGAGAATCCTACCCAAGGGTCAAGGGTGATTTCTGTTTTTCCTCCACCTTTGCCAGACTGTATTTCTACTGTGGCCTTTGAATAAATTGGAAATTTAAAAAGTATATATAATAACTGCAGTTTCCTAAATCATCTGGGACTCCAGTCATCCTTCAAGTGTTATTATAAGAAGTTTCCCCCGAAACAAACTGGCTTACTTTTATCTTCAAGAATGGGATTAGTAGGGCTTGGTTAGATTGTCCAGTTTATTTAAGCCCAAAGTAGATTTCTTCCTCTAACCCAGGCCTACCTAAGAGGATGCTGAGGTCTGGAAAGAGCCTGCCTAACCTCCACAGCAGCTGGTGACACTGCTGATGCAGAGTTGTCCCTGCCCTGTGGATTGCTTTATGTTTAGGGCAGAATTGCTGCCAGTTATGAAGTGGAGGATGCTGTGTTAGTTAATGAACAGCTATTTATAAGTAGCTATGTATATGAGGTTCTAATCCAGAAGTTGGCAGGAAGGAATAAAAGAGGACTGAAAAACAAAATGCTAAATGCAACGTGGTATCCTGGGTTGGATTCTGGAACATAAACGGAGCATTAGTTGAAAAACCAGTGAAATCTGCAGAAAGTCTGGAGTTTTGGTAATAGTAATACACCAATGTTAATTTCTCAGTTTTGATGACTGTATCACAGTTAAGTAAGATGTAACAGGTGGGGAAATGAAGAATGGTATATGGGCGTTTACTGTACTATCTTTCTGTAAATTTAAAATTATTCATAATTAAAAATTTATTAAAAATATGATAAAAAGAAACATACCACCCAGAGTCATAATAACTTTAGTAAAGCAGGTCCCTATTGACAGATTATTTGAAGTTTGAACTTTTTGTATTTTTTTCAAGAAATATATATTTTTACTGAATGTTTTATTTTATTTTTATTTATTTATTATTTTAAATTTTTTTTTTAAGAGACAGAGTCTTACTCTATCACCCAGGCTGGAGTGCAATGGTACAATTATATCTTACCGCAGCCTTGAAGTCTGGGTGCAAATGACCCTCTCACCTCAGCCTACCCAGTAGCTGGGACTACAGGCATGCATTACTACACCTGGCTAATTTTTTATTTTTATTTTGTAGAGATAGTGGGGGGGTCTCACTGTGTTGCCAAGGCTGGCCTCAAACTCCTGACCTCAAGCAATCCTCCTGCCTGGACCTCTCAAAGTGCTGGGATTACAGGCGTGAGCTGCTGTACCCTGCCTTAATGCTTTCTTTTGAATATTTTGTATTAGAAGATATTTATTGGTGGAACTAACACAGAAAAGCTAATAAATATGTGATTTGTTTTGACATTTTTCTACTATCTATATCAGAGACCAACCA